AGCACCAATATGTGATGACTCGGATCCTCCCGAGGCCTAACCCAGTGCTTTCATCCAGGAATCAACCCACCTCTTTAATTCGTCTGAGATTATTTGGGTTCAGTGTGTGCTCCGTTCCCTTTCTTCAAGGCTGCATGACTTCCACTCTTTCCTTGCATCTTCCAAACTCCCTGTCCCTGTGGTGGTTTGCTGTTCCTTTTCCTTCTTTTGTGTCTCTCTGCCACAAAGTGTTGCACAAAGTGATACTTCTGGATGTACAGTGGGGGGGACAAGGGGACGTTAATCCTGCTCTCAGAGGTCCCTTTCGAAAAAACATTCTTTAAATGCCCCCAAAGATTTAAGCCTAAAGGCTTTCATTTTTAACCTGATGAACAAACAACTTCTCCAGAGTCAAAATATTTGTGCTGATAATGGTGCAGTGTCCTGAGGGAATTAATTCACCTATCTTACTTTACTTGGCTTTTTTGCTCACAGGCACCTCTTGGTCCAGCGATATCCCATGTACTAGCCCAGTCCAATACTCACAGCCACACTCTTGCAGGAGGAAAATGCTGCATCTCTGGAAAACTTGGGTGTGATTTTAAATGGCACAGTAGGAGTAGAACCCAAGGCCACCTGCTGGTCCAAAACTTCGGATGATGTCAGTGGGATAAGTGGCATAAAACTGCCATTCTGTCTGGGAGGATGTTAGATCCATTTGCTCTCGCAATGTCCTGATGTGTGTGGCCGTACAGGAGTGTGTCAAGAACTCCTTTAACCTTCAGCCTGTTACTGTTGTGGAAAAAATAATGTAGAAATATCATGTAATTGTTTTTTTATTAAACGGTGGGGTTTTTTTTAAAAAAAAGGCCTCCCAATTCTCCTATCACTAGTTGTAGTCCAGGAAACTTTGTGTTTATTAAGCACTGTGTAAATTTGCAGCTCTCTATAAATGTAAAATCAATAGTAATGATAACAGCAGCAAAGTGCTTAGTCCAGCTCTGGTAATAACCCAAGCCTGTTAACTTCTTGATAAGGTCACTCGCTTTACATGGGCACCTCCTCTTCCTGTGAAAACATGGGGAGCAGAGCAGAAGACACTTGCGTTCCCTGACAAGAAAGGAAACATTGAAAACATGTCATTTCCAGCAGGTGACAATGGTGGGCAAGGACCTGAAGGACTCTTAAAATCTATTGCAGGGGCCTTAGCTTCTCCGCTGAGCGCTGCAAGCACACCTCCTCTTCTAGGAAATTAAAATCTTAACATCTCGTTAACAGTAGCCTTTTCTTCATCTCTCCTCACAAGCACATCAGAAAGGGGAATCTCCAGTAACATGTTGGAGTGAGCGAAATTGCATTTCTGGAGGATGAGCAGAGTGACCAGACGATGGCTTGTGGCTGACCCCTCTGAGCTGTGGCCTCCGTAGTGATGCCACCGCTCAGCTGCTTTTAGAAGGGCACAAACTGGGCAGTTTCTGTGTGTGTAGGTACCACACTTTCACCTCTCCCCAGGCATACAGCAGCTCTAACGGCAGCTCTGCTGGCTCAGGGCACCCCACTCCTGTCCGAGCAGGCAGGTGGAAGGGCATTGGGCTTTTTATAGCTGGGGCTTTACCACCTGGCAATAACTAAGTCTCTACCATTTAAAAATATATTGAATATTTGACAGCCCCCTCTGCACCGTGGTGATTCCCTTAAGGGTGAAACCACTACAGGCAGCTGTGGTTAACTCTGTGCAATGTGCTCCTCTTACACTAGGTCCCCTTTAAACCTGGCTTAGGGATCCCAAATGGCTCACTGCCATCAGTCTGGCTTCCAGCATGACCTCCCCAAGGAGTTCACTGATAAACCTGAGGCCCCAGAGGTCATCATAGAAAGGTTTGCATTGGAAGGGACCTTAGAGATCATCTAGTTCCAACCCCCTGCCATGGGCAGGGACACCTTCCACCAGCCCAGGTTGCCCAAAGCCCCGTCCAACCTGGTCTTGAACACTGCCAGGGAGGGGGCAGACACAGCTTCTCTGGGCAACCTGTGCCAGGGCCTCACCACCCTCACAGGAAAAAATTTCTTCCTTAGATCTAATCGAAATCTGCCCTCTGTCAGATTAAAACTGTTGCACCTCATCCTATCCCTACACCCCCTGATCAAGAGTCCCTCCCCAGCTTTCCTGTAGCCCCCCTTAAGCACTGGGAGGCTGCTGTAAGTTCTCCCTGGAACCTTCTCTTCCCCAGGCTGAACCCCCCCAACTCTCTCAGCCTGTCCTCACAGAGGGGTGCTCCAGCCCCCCAAGCATCTTCGTGGCCTCCTCTGGCCCTGCTCTAGCAGGTCTGTGTCCTTCTTATGTTGGTGCCTCCAGAGCTGGATACAGCACTTCAGGGGGGGTCTCATGAGAGTGGCGTAGAGGGGGAGAATCCCCTCTCTCAACCTGCTGGCCACACTGCTCTTGCAATCCAGGATATGGCTGGCTTTCCCCCTTTTCCTCTCCACTCCTCCCTGCCCACCTCTGTCAGCCTAGCCTCATCTCGCTCTGTGGTAGGTCCAAAGTCACCTTTGGGCTTTTTCTTTGTCATGCTGCTGCAGTAGATCAAGTCCATCTGCGCATCATTTCCATTCTGTTTTCTTCTTCTCTGACCTCCGCCTGCTAACCTACCCCTAGGTCTAAGTGACCTTCACCGCAGGAATAATCCTCCTTAAGCGCCCATCCCAAAGGCAGCACTCCCACTGTTAAATAATAATCATACAGTAATAATCACCAGAGGTCTGGCAGGGACTTCAGGAAGTCTCTGAAGCCATCCATCCCCCCCTCTCCAAGGTGGAGTCACCCAGAAGCAGTGCCTGACGCGTGCGTGAAAGGCTTCTAGCGATCGGGATGCCGCAGCCTCCCCAGCAGCCCCCTGCGGCCCAGGAGACCTTCCTGGGAAGAAAGCACTTTCTTGAGCACAGCCCAAATGTTTCCTCCCACAAATCAAGCCGATTATTACTTGTCCTTCTTCTGGTAGATCTGGAGAAGAACCGATCACAGTCTGCCTTTTAGCAACGTTTTATATAATAGCAAGGCAGCTTTTAGAGTAACCGAGAGGCGTTTGCTCACTTGCAAAGTCAGGAAATTCCCTGCCAATGGACATTCTTTGTCGGGGATCCTTTGCCAGCATAGGCTGAGCGCTAAGCCCCACAATCTGCATTTTCCTTTTGAATGACTCCCACAAAATAAACCAAATATCACATCCAAGGAGATTTATTACATCCCTTCCAAGGGCAAAGCATTCCTCAGCTACATTCCACTTCTGTCTTTTGTGCTTAGGAAAGGGGAAAAAAAAAATCTCTGTGATGCCTCTGGATCCCACCCCTCGAGGGCTTCTGTCGTTAATAAAGCCGAGCAGCTGGAGCCAGATTTGTCAGACTAGTCCTGAATGGCTGGCTCACTCCTGCTGCAAGAGCAGCACCATCAGAGCAGCCCTAGGATTCCTGCCTCTGATAGAAGATTAATAACTCATGGCACCACGTTTCCTCAGTAAAAACACCTTTTGTTGTTCCCAGTGACACCCTATCCCCCTGGCAGCAGCTGCCAGAGTGGATCTTCTCACTTCCTAGCCGCTCTGGCTTCTCCTGCCTCTGCATGATGCAAGAGTTTGCAATGCTTTTTGGGAGCTCAGACGTGCTCTCAGGGACTCTGCTTGAAGTGATTGCTCTCTCCAGGCTTTGCAGCGAAGCTTTTATCCAGATGTGTAAAGGAGGATGTGTACAGAGGGAGGGTAAGGGGATGAAACCTCTGTTGTGTTACCTGAGCTTAATTAAGCTTCTCCCTAGGCAGTTGCTAATTGATTGACCCCAGGATTGTAAAAGGGAGCAAATCTATCAGAGCTCATTAAAAGTGCAGAGTTTGGAATTTGAATTTTTTTATTTCAGTGATGAATACCCGTGACTGATGTCTTGCTGACTGATACCAGTGAAACAAACACTATTCAGCAAATGTTGGTACATGGATTTGGATTTTCAAATGAGAGAAATGGTGAGTCCTCAGATGCCTATTCATCATCATTGTGTCCCTTGCCAGCATTTATAGGTACCACTTAACTGGAGTTCTGGTATTACTTTCTGCCCCAGCTTGGGCTGTGCTAACCAGCCTTGCAGTCTTTTCCAGTGGGTATCAAATCCATTTCAGTTTCACAGGCTTCAAAAGCATTTCAACAAATCGAACAAACACCCCCCACCCACCCCCCAAACCAAAAATAAGTTCACCCACCATAAAATGCAGGCACTGCAGGCATGGGTGAGGCAGCTCTGTGACACCCCAACGCAACCATGTAGAAGTGGAGAAAAGAAGCTGTGTCCAAGGGGGGATGCAGGAAGAGCAAAGCGAAAAGGCCCATCGCCTCCCAAACGTCTGGAACATTGACTTTACCAAAAATGCTGAGATCATGTCCGGTCTGACGGTGTTCAGATCTGTCTCATGCAATTGAACCCCCACCCAGAGCAGGGGCACAGGCTCACTCACCTGAGTGACAGATGCCTTCTTCTCAGATATCTGCAGCTCAGGGCACTGTTTGCAGGTTTCCTCTGCGAGTACTACTCTTGGCTTTTTGTTGGCGAGGTTTGGCACAATGGAAGCTCACCCTGTCGGGACTGAGACACAGCCAGTGTGCGGAAAGGGCTACAGGAAGATAAGGTGTGCAGAGCAGTGTGGAAGCAATACATGTGCCTGAAGACAGAGACTATTATGAGCAGAAGGTGGCTGGAAGAGCAGCTACTGGCCAGGTGACAGGCAGCCGTTGAAAGGCCAGCTTTCACGACCAGCCCAGCCAAGCTCCTTGTATCACTTGGAGCCAATTCACTGTGGCTCCATCCAGCCTTAAAACCCTTTCAGCAGGGCTTTAAAGCTATTTAGAGCATGGAGGGAAAGCCCTTGTGTGTAGCAAACTGAAAAAGTTGTGTGTGCACCCTGGGTGTGAGATGTTGCTGCAGATTTGAAGTTTCTCCTGTCAGCCTGTGAGTTGCTTCCCTTTTTTTCCTTACTAGGACAGTCTGGTGTCCTATTCCCTCCTACTCTCCATCCTTAAAGATGATGCTCATCTCTCCTGAAGAGGTTTCTGTGTACTCTGTGAAGTTTTGCAGGGATTTGATGGAACTGTCAGCTGAGCAGCAGCATGGACAGGTAACACCTATCCTACATGGGTTTTACTGAGAATACACCTCTACAGTCGTGGCTGCCTATCACTGTCCAGGCCTGTTTGCCTTTAAGCCCTTCAGAGCACTTCTGAGTTGCTTTTCTGGGTCCTCTGTTTAGAAAATGTTTAACGTCAGTAAGAGTTTACAGAAAAGTCTTAATTTTCACATCATGTTTGAAGGACACTGGTTTATTGGGTCTCTGGGTTTAGGTAGTGGCTGCAAAAATAAGTCCCTAGGTGTAGCGATGAGGAAGAGGGACTGCCACTGTCTCTGTGGTGAAATGACAGCAGGGAGAACCGACCCTCCAGAAGATGCTGCTGAGGAAAGAGAGGAAGCCCAAGTGTCTCCTCTCTGGAGCACATGGACTTCCCCATCCTGAGGAGGATACTTGTGACCCTCGCAACCCTCCCTGCTACTGCCTGCTCTGTCTGCTTCTTTCTCTTTCTTCTTTTCCTCTTTCCTCAACCACACCCACTATTTAACCATTTAGATATAAAAATAAAAAATAAGAAAACCACCCAACCCACTAGACAGAGGGTTTGCTAAAGAAGGGTAATTTTAAAAGCAAGTCTTTGAGGTCAGCGTGTAATTGTAACATTGGGACTATGTGATCCAAGACAAAAATAATCCACTGGGTATCTGGTCAAGGAGAAGAGGATGGCAGCCTGCAGTGAGGGAAGAGTGACTTACATGGGATTGATCATACAGCAAAAGACTAGGCAAAACTACTTGCAGGCACCAGGATTAATATTTCTTTAGGATATTGCAAGATTTTCTGTCTGTGATGGGATGGTAAGAGCTGCTGTTTGGGGCACAGCCTCCCTTGGCCTCAGTCCCAGGGACTGGCACTGGGTGCTTCCCAGGAATTTAATGGTCTTCTACTGAAATACAGATATGATGTGAAGTATATTTATATATTAACCTGCTCATGAGGAACATTTCTGGTTTAGGGTGCTGAGGTTTTTTAACAGTTCTCCATTTTCAATCCCCTGCTTCAGGGACTTTACGAAAACCTGTCTTCTTCAAAGGGTTCAGGGGGCAGCAAGCCTTACTCTTCCCTTGCTTGGTATAACAAAGAATGTTTTCACCCCTCTAAATATTGGATCCTTTCCTTGCAGTTCCTTCTCAGTTATAACTGACAGCAGTAAGTTACATCGGCCAACCATACAATGTATTTTACCAGTATTTAGCGCATTTTAAATGAAGAAGTGAGCCTTGTAAGCACCTAAATATTTCTGCTGTCTGATAAGCCTGAGAGTACAATACAGGGAGTAGCAGGACCACACCACGGTGCTGGTTTTGTTTATCATTCTGGTGAGACACAGTGGCAGCCCTCACTGCAGGGGAGTTCATGCTGATGCTTGTACTGTGGCAAAGCACCAACTGTCTACAGAGGACCGTGATGTTCCTGGCTCCAGAGGTGGCATGGGTAGGACACCAGCAGCCTTTCATCTCCGTCGTTCCTAAGACTGAGTTGCTTTCGGATTTGCTCCCAGATGAAAGCACCATAAAAACCAGTTTTACTGTGAAAGAAGTTAAGTGTAAGAAGAGGGAGCACGCCTGTACCTTGATGACAATGTCTAGGGGTATAGAGCTGTACCTGAATTGATGCCATTTGTGTTTCCATTTCAAGATGCCCAGCCATCAACTCTCCAAGCTTTCACCACAGCTCAGTATGTCCCCTTCTCAAACCACTGTCTGTGCATGAAAGGGATTTATTTTTAATCAGAGGACAGCACTGGTTGCAGGGGTCTTTAGTTTGTGACCTTCAATTCTGTTTCTAGGAGGAGACAGTGGGTTTCAGTACCTTCTTACTGTGGCTGTCTCTGGGTCAGCCCTTCCCAGAACAGATGCCACTGATTCAGGAGGGCTTGCTGCCTCCCCTTTCTTTAAGTGCTGGTTACACAGCTCCGCCAGGATCTGTTGCAGTCATAAACCATGCTCAAGGGATGAGCAATTTAGGGTTTGGAGTCATTGTGGACCAGCCCTGGAGACCTCATGCAATTGTTTTTCATCTCTCTTACACCCACAGTTTTGCTAGATTAGAGTTACTGAAGAACCCAGACTGCTTCTGACTTGAATTTGAGTTGGGAAAGACACACAAAAGAAAGGAATTTGTGTTGTAAATTAGATTTCTCAGATTTCAGTGATTTGTCATGGAAATGTGGCTCAATCTATGCAGTCATAGAAACATCTCACATGTTCAAACTCTTCACATGCTATTAACTTTCCTGATGTGGCAGGGTACAGTGACTGTAGGAGGTAAGGTTAATTTCAAATCAGCTGTGGTAGAAAAATGACTTGGTTCCCCAGCTTGGGAAGCATTAAACCTACAAAGTGACGATTCATCTAGGAACCATTCCCCAGTCCTGGTGATGTATGTGACAAGATGGCATTCTTGGCTCAAGTTGTTTTCTACCCTCTCCAAAGTGTCCAGTGGGGTATATGCTACCTCTTGGTACAGCTCAGGTCAGCAGGAGAGCACCCAGGTACCTCCCCATGTGTGTTGTGCTCACCCATGATACAAAATAAAAACCATAATTCAGAGCTCAGTCAATGGGAGTGGTCTAAAAATAATAGGACTGAAACACATAAATGATGGTTTTCTTAGGTTTGCCCACCTGTGTCCTAGCCAGGGGAGTGCACCTTCTGCCGGTTCCCTGCAACCATCAGAAGTCACCTAAGAAAAAGGCAGGAGAAGTGAGAAGCTTCCACATTCCCACGACTCCAGGTGCTCAGGCTTTAAGAAAACCAGAAAACCTGAGACGTCTGGAGGAAGAAAGACCTGGCAATACTGTTGGCCCCGTTTGCCACACAAACCAGAACCTCCCATTTCTCTTGTACACCAGTGGCTGTTAGAGAAGCACAGGCCCAGTGCCATGGGCGGTGAGTTCTTGAGCACTTCAAAGAGCCTTTTCCTTAGTGCTGCTACCTCTGGGTATGTTGCATGCTTCACATTTTAGGCTGCTGCCACACTCGAGCTCCCGATGAATCAAGAGCTGTACAGGACATGGTAGCACCAAAGGGACCATGCTCAGCATGCCAAGGAGACAGGCACTCTGGGACGGAGGAACCAGGCACTCTACTGCCTTGCTTTGCCTTGCCTTACCTTGCCTAACCTATCTACCCCCCAGTCAGCTGGAGAAACCACATCTCTCTGCATTTCTGTTTGCTTGCTGGGCATATCTAGCAAGCATGAGGGGTTTGCTCACTGGGGCTTCTGCAAGGCAGCTGATAATTTTTATCTCTTTATTTCGGAGCTCAATCATGAAGAGAGTTGTGTTACATGCTTGGCTGCAGCTGTATGAGACTTGTTGACCCGGGAAGTCCCTCTCTTCCTTTTTGCAGGTTAAAAAAGCCACACTAGGGCTTTTCAGCCTGGAAATGCTGGTCAAGCAGGGAGCTCTGCAAACGCCACTTACCCAAAGTGGTTCTTGCTCAGCAAGAGGGCGGCTGGCTGGCTCAGGTGAACTCTCCTGAAGCTGGGAGAGCTGCAAGACCAGGGTGGGCCGCTCTCAAGAGCGGCTGCTTGCCCAAGCAGCACGGGCAGTGCCAGCTTCACCCTGCCTTCCTGCAGCCAGCCCCAGCCCTGTGCGCCGCTTGGGCAGGGGGAGAGTGACATGTCTGCGTGCGCCTGACAGCATCTGTTGCCATGGCAATGCGTATTTGAGCCTGAGCCGAGCTGCATCTTCCCTGAAGTTGTGAATTGAGCTTAGCTTTATTTATTTAAAACCAACCATAACGAGTGATAGAAAGAGAAGAGACACGTTACAAATCCCCTTGCGCAGGCCATAGCCAAATGAGTCAGAGGCACTGCAGGCTTTAATCAGCCCACCTGACGTCAAACCTCTCCATCAGAGGAAAGTGCCGCCTGGAAATGTCAACATGCCCAAATGGAAAGGCCAGAAGGTAAATCTTTTCCTGTGCTCACTCACCGGGTAGGAAAGAACAATTAAAATTCAGCCAGTTCCCTAGACACATCTTAATAGCAATCTGATTGAATGCTTTTCTCCTCCCGGTCCTCTCCTATCCTTGCCGTTAGCTGCCTGGGGCAAGGCCTGTTGGTTTGAAGGATCTTTCTACTGCAGCATCAAACCCCAGATCCTGCAAGAACAAGGTGTTACCACCAGCAGCAAAAATGGGCTCTGCAGGAAAACTGTCACTGAAATGATCTCTCCCACAAATGCTGAGCTAACCATGCTGCAATGGCTGTTCCCAGTTTCACACGTGTTAATACCTAGGGGTAAGAAGAGCAACTTAGCTTGGACCTATGATGTCACTTGCCAACAGAAAGTTGGGGTGAGGAAGAAAGCGGTGGGAATCAGACCACATTTGCCAGAGGTGTCAGCCATGTGCGGGCAGGTCAATGCCAACAGCGAGAGATGCACCACAGCAACGGGAAAGGGTTGTGGGATCTAACAGAGGCGTGTCTACTGGGAAGAAAACCCCTCCTGCATCCTTTCTAACAGAGCTCACACTTTGACGCCCCATGATATGGACGAGGTGAGAAGGAGCCACCAGCTTTGGATAGAAGAAGCCTGTTCTTGAGTGTATATCATAAGTTAGATGTGCAAAGGGGAGAGAGATCAGCCAAGGACACCTACAGCTTTATCTGCCCCTTTGAGGAACGTCAAGCTGGGAAGCCCAGAGCAAAACCATCCCTTCCCAGCCCACTGGTGTTCACCCAGGGTGACAAAGGGACACATGCAGACAGCAGGGGACATGAGCATGCGGAGAAGGAGGAAGGAAGGAAGAATGTAAGATGCAAACCGCACCACTTAAAACCAGGGCGGCTTTCCAGTTCCTCCAAAGTGCTCCCCACACCCAGCGCTGTACAGCAGCCAACCTGGTGGGCTTCTGATCTTCCCAAATCACTTAACACTTCTCCCCCTTTTATTTTTGTCCTAAATGTAAGCATTTTGCTTTGGTGGCTGATCCTGGCAACGTGCCCCAGACATTACACTGGGGTTGCTTTTGCTCTAGGAGATAAGTCTGTAATGAAGGCTTCCTCTGCCGTGTCTCTTTTTCCCCTGTAGTGAAAGTCTGTAATTACCACTGAGGGGCGAGGCAGACAGCACTGAAACAATGTCATTTGAACAGGGGTGAGACATGCCTGAATTGCTGGGTTGTGCTTTTCTCCTTACAGTATTGCTTGTGGATACGGACCTTGCTTTTAACCCTTGGCAGGGCAGGGAACGCTGTCCCCCCATGTCCCCGACCAGCCTGCATGCACTGGATCTGCTTGGCTGCTATCGGGACAGATCCTGCTGGACGTAGCCAAGGTGTGAGCGTCTGACTTCTCTGCCATGCTCGAGGAGTCAAGTGGCACAAATCAGCGGGGATTGCCCCCTAGTCGTCATGCAGGTAACTGGGGGTTTGGGGTTGACTCCATATGGCACATGCAGCGTGGCAAAACAGAGCTGTTGCAGTCTTCTTGCCCCAACTTGGCTAGTCCTGTTCCAGCGGTTCTTCAGCTCCCTCCTGCACCAAAGCCGTCTGCTTCCCGTTCCTTGATGCAAGGCATCTTTTTGGTATAAAATTCCGTCAAACAGAGTGTGCAGCTATACCTCTCATCCTTCCTAGGAAAAGGTTTGAGATGTAGGAAACAGAAATGAGGCAATTACAGCCCCCTCAGGATGACTCTTCAGGCTGTCTGCAGCCCCTTGAAGGCTGCCTGGGTCCCGTTTGCAAGCTGGCCTTGCAACCATGCAGGCTAGAAGTCTAGTAGAGTAGAACAAATAAAAATTCGTGCATGGGAAGCAGAGGCAGCCACCCTCCTCTGCTGTCCTGCAGCTTCCCATTCACCTGAGATTCCTGAAAGGGAGTTATTTACAGCACCTTCAAATGCTAACAAACTGCTGGAAGGAGATGCCCTCATACTGAAGTTACTCTTCATTCAGTTAGTCATCCTGAAAGTTGTCTGGTTCTCCAGGGAGATTGACAGGAAAAAAAAAAAAAAAAAAGGAGGGCAGACTGTGTGTGACAAGGCAAAGAAACGTTCCTAACCCACCATGAAGAAGTGAAGGAGATACAAAGAAATTTTTCCTCCTTTATCAGTTACCTTCAAAGTGGTGAGTTTTCAGTTCTCATCTTTTGTTATAATACCCATTTACTGATTTGGGGCTTTCCTTTCTGACATACCTAATCCTGCCGCAGGCAGCTCAGCCACTTTCCCAGAAAGCTGAAGGGATTCCACAGAGGGATATTCCTAGGGTCTGGTGCCCTGTATTCAAAGCTTTCCTTTCCCTAGGTCTTGTATTCCCTGCTTTCCTGCCTGTCACTCACTCCCTGTTTTCAAGGCCTATTTAGATCTATCCGAGGGCCCAAAGTTCACTCCAGAAAGAATAATAATTGCAGCGCTGAGCTCTGTGGCTTCCTTTTCATTCTCCACATAGCATTAGGGTGCTCACTGAAACCACAGCATTCATGGATCCTTGCCATATGCAAACATGCAATTAATATGCTCTTCACTTTCCCCACTACTTCCCAAGCAAGAGGGGGGAAAAAGGCACAAGTTGTGGTGTACATTCTATTAGCACGTGCACACGTGTGTGTCTGCACCTCTCTCGAGTGCTCCAGCATGGTTCACACCTATCTGGGCTTGATGGTGACTGATGAAATGTGTCTGCTTACAGGCAGACTTCTAATTTGGTGCGGCACCAGTTCTTTATAGCTGCATACAAAGCAATGCACAGGACACCACTCATTCCCTCTTTCAGCTGTGGCAGCAGATTTGTGAAATCTCGGGTTTCACAGGTGTGTTCCCCCTTCTCTAGTTTTAGCAGGGAGCTGAGATAGGTGTGATCTCCTTTCTGGCACCCCTCCCTGTTCCGCTGCTGGTCACTGGCGGTGGGAGGTGGTGTGCTGGGTACCTGGCTGGGAGACCCAGCACCCAGGAGGAAGGCAATGGAAAGCAGCTGAAGCTGGCTGGATGGAGAAGTGTGTGTGAGAAAGAGTTTAAACCAGCCACTAGAAGGAAATCCAAAGGGAGCCAGATTTCCCGGAGGAAGCGGGGCTGTGGAGCAGAGCGCAGAGAGAGGCTCCAGCGTCTGCAAGTCCTTCCTTGGAAGTTACTTTTTGCTAGAGGGTGTTTTACTGGATTCCTCCCCTCTATCTTGACTTTTTTCACAGGCTTTGAATTGTAGCCACAAAACCTAAACGAAGAAATCGCAGCCCGAGTGTTGGATATGTAACTACTTGTGCCATGGCACACAGCCTGACTCCTCAAGGACTGTCTGGGGGCTGCAGTGCTCCTTCTTTGAACTAGGTTGAAAGTCCCATTTCCATCCTCACCTTGTTCTCAGGGGGACTTCAAGAGCGGAGGGGACCTACAATGCAGCAGTTGCTCCCCCTGTCTGTGTTGCACAAAAGAGTGAGCAAACCCACCCCCAAGCAATATACCGGGAGGTAAGCAAATCCAGAGAAAAGCCAGAGAGAAATAAAGGCAGGACTGCTATAAAGAGTTACTGAAGGGCCCAAGTATGGAGCCTGCACGGCTCCAGAAAGCCTTCGTGGCTGGAAGATAGCCTGTGGCAGAAACCAGCTATTCCATTCATATGAACACCAAAGCTGGAAAGATAAACAGGACAAATGTTATCTTTTGCCAGACTTGGAGTAAACGCTCTGCTGTGGTGTCAGACCTAAAGAGCCAGCCTGACCCACAAAGCAAGCAGCTCTAACAGCGTGAATCATCCCCACACCAGGCTGCAAATGAGGGCAAACCCCAGGCAGACGACCCCTGCTGTAACAACAGGCAGGCAACAAACCAAAAATCACCAACACAGGCAATTTACCCCACATTCCTCGAGAAAGACTCATCCTCGATGAGTTTGTGAAACCTCCTGCCTCAGTCTGGGGCAGGAGGGAATCAAAAGCTTCAGCTTTGCAGGCTGCAAAATGTCCTGGATCGCTGTGCACGTGTTCGAGCCCAGGGGCTGCGTCCCTCATCTCGCATGTCTTGCTCACAGTGGTGCAGGGTGAAGGCAGAGCAAACACAGAGACCGGCGGCTCCCTCTCGTAGGTGTAAAGGCAGACAGTGGCAGCAAGGCAAGGCAGGATGGAGCACAGGAGAGTGGGACTCCTTTCTTACGAGAACTGGGTTGATGTTTCACTTCTCAGCACTGATCAGATGAGCTTGGTCATACATGTGCATTGGCAGTATCAAATGTTATGAGGCCAGGAAGGCTTATCTGCTGTCAGTATGAGACTTGTTCAATCTAAACATACTCAGCTGCTGTTTCAGTCTTCTGCTGTGATTAGATTGCAAATAAATCAAATAAATAAAACCGGAGAAAATAGGGCTGAAAATAGGGCTGAAAATCGAGACCGCACCTTGATGACTGTATTCCGTTTTGGGCCACTCACTCCAAAAAGGCCATTGAATGACTCGAGTGTGTCCAGAGAAGGGCAACGAAGCTGGTGCAGGGTCTGGAGCACAGGTCTGATGGGGAGCGGCTGAGGGAACTGGGGGGGTTTAGTCTGGAGAAGAGGAGGCTGAGGGGAGACCTCATCGCCCTCTACAGCTCCCTGACAGGAGGGTGCAGAGAGCTTGGGGATGAGTCTCTTTAACCAAGTAATAAGTGACAGGACAAGAGGGAATGGCCTCAAGTTGCACCAGGGAAGGTTTAGACTGTATATTAGGAAGCATTTCTTTACAGAAGGGGTTGTTGGGCATTGGAATGGGCTGCCCAGGGCAGGGGGGGAGTCCCCATCCCTGGAGGGGTTTAAGAGTAGAGTCGACACAGTGCTGAAGGATCTGGTGTAGTTGGGAACTGTCAGTGTGAGGTTAATGGTTGGACTGGATGATCTTCAATGTATTTTCCAACCTTGACGATTCTGTGAAAAGGAATTTGAGTGATCATGTGATTCAGCCCCTGCCCCAAGGTTGTCTCCTGATCTGCCATATCGGCTGCAGAACTTGGCTTTAAAGATGCTCTAGTGAGGGCAACACTGCCACTTCCCAGGTACTTGTCTGTCACCGCTTGTCCCCTCCAGTGTGGCAATGGAGAGCAATTCTTGCCTTCCTAGTTCCTGCAGCTCTTTAAGTGCTTGAAGACTGTTGGCATGAGAATCATCTCTTTAGACCAAAGAAGCCCAATTCCCCCAGTCCTTTCTTAGGGTTCACATTTTCTCCATTCATTCCCACTGCCCTCTGGACCCAGCCCAGTTAGCCCCCATCTTGCTCAAAGTTTGGCACTTAGATAGGCATGGTATTTTGGCTAATGCTATATTCTGCACCGGTCCTCTGCAGAGCAGAAGGGGAACTTCACACTGTAAAGGTTTTGTAGGAGGACTCCTGCATCTATATCCTGGTGTGGCATTTGCCTTTTTCACAGCCATGTGATGCTGTTAACACTGTTCAGGTGTTGCAGGTGCTGTAGTTGCCAGGCCTCTGCTGTTGTCCTGTCCCCTCTCGCTGCAGGCACCCCCTGCCAGCTGCAGCAGCATGTCCGAGTCCTCCTGAAATGTGATCACCTCCCCTCACCCCATTGACACTTTCCCTGCCCCCAGGTCTCTTTTGGAGCACAAAACTGCTTGCCTGCAGAAATACCTCTCCTTTTTGGCTCCAGAGGGTCAGCAGTGACACTCTGAACTCAGAGGTAACATTTGTGTTGCCTTTAATGGACTGCTCTCGTGCCCGACGTGGGGAAAATGTCCCTTTTGGTGCTAGGGACGGGGTCCCTATCAGAGCTCTCCAAGCCAGGACAGAGCAGCTTTGCAGCACAACGCCAAAGAGGGAGGTTTGTTATAATCCTTCCTTGCCTGCAGAGCTGCAGCAGCAATGGACAGGAGAGCTGTGGCCAGGCAGTTACGCTCAGTACTATAAGTATGAAATAGAAGCAGGGTCTCCGAGCAGGCAGTATCATTTTTTCCGAGATACTTTAATCTCCCGAACGCACTTCACAATCCCTATCTGAATGTGCCAAAGCATTTTTCCTTCAGAGTGCAGGCAAACAAGAGAGGTTTACTTTGCTTGACCTTTTCTGATGACACTGCCACCCATGCTGCGCTGGAGCTGACACCATCTCGGCTTCCTCGGCCTGGCACTGCGGGTAAATACAGCGTGTGTCCTGAGAAGATTCTTCCTTCTGTTAACTTGGGCGAGGCACTGAACCAGAAAATCCTGGTTTCAGCGGTGAGTCTTCGCAGTTAGGGAAGCGATATCCGTGTTTGGTTAGCAGCGGGAGGTGAAGCTGTGGCTCTGCCCGTGCTCCATGTCCCTGGGCTGTTGCTATCGCAGGGCTCGGTCCTTCTGCTCCTGGCAGCTGAGAGCCCTCCTGCCTGGGATGTTAAAGGAAAGATGCCTTTCCCCTTGCTTGGAGATAGAGGTTTGCTTCTTGTTGAAGGGTCTGGGCATATTTCCTCTCCCCATCTTACAGTGGAAAAGGTTTTCATGTCCCCCCCTTTAAACCCCCTGACATCCACACTGACAGACAGGTTTCTTTACCATTAAGGAAGGAGGAACAGCATTATTTTCTCAGCACAACTCCATCCTGCCTGAATTTATGTCTCTGACCTTTTACCCAAAGGCTCTTTACACTTGACTGAAACGTAAGGTAAAAGTAAATGTAACTGAAAGAGCCCATTGTGTGTGCAAGTATAAAGGCTTTTGTGTGCAGGAGGTAGCACGGGGCTTCTTGTGCAACGAGTAGCCAAGGAGCATCTTGGGTTCTGCTCTTAGTCCAGAGGCTCGTTGGGAAGCATGGAGCAGGAGCCCAGAGGGATGGAAACCCGGTGTCTGGTTCAAGCACAGGCTCCATCCAGCCTCACATGGGCACTTCTCCCCCAGGACCCTTGCTGTTGGCATCTTTCAGGCAGGTTTCTTCCAGGACAGCTGCACCGCAGTCTTTGGGGCATTTCTCCTCCATTATGGCTGTGACCAAGGAAGCCCATGCTGGGGGCTGGGTCTCTGTGCAGCCGTGAAAGCATGGACAGATTAATAAAACATCAGGG